CTCTCTCTCGACCTGGTTTCTCTGTATTGCTTTGGAGCCTGTCCTGGAGCTAGCTCTTTAGATCAGGCTGGCCTTGAACTCACAGAGATCTGCCTGTCTCTGCCTCCCGAGTGCTAAAGCCGTGTGCCACCAACACATTGCTCTGACTCAGGTTTATTTTTGTCTCTTTTGCTTCCACCTCTTTCTCATTCATTCATTCATTCATTCATTCATTCATTCATTCATTCATTCATCTGTCAGGCTTGCCCTGAATGTGCTTTTCCAGAAAGAGCTGTCTTGCTGGCCCTTTGTTTATTTGTTTGTTTGTGGACCAGGCTGATGTGAAGTTTTCAATCCTCCTGTGTCAGCCTCTAGAGAGCTGGGGTTACAGGCATCTGCTACCTACCATCTGTGCTGGTGTCTTTATTGAAGACTTCTTGTTAGCTGGGCATTTTGGTCTATGCCTATGACCCTGGTACTTAGAAGGCTGAGGCAGAAGGACTATAGAGTCAAGGCTAGGACTACAGGGTGAAATTTTGTGTTACCAAACCAAACCAGGGTATCTGCTAACGTTGGGGGAAGGATTCTGGCTCTTGGTTCCCAGGAGAACAGCTCCATTGTAAATCAAAAGACTAGAGGCATCCTAACTGTCCACCCAGTTGTTCCCTTGGGCAGGGTGAGAACATTTCACAGCACTGCCGTCCAGTTTTGATCTTTGTGTGTGTGTGTGTGTGTGTGTGTGTGTGTGTGTGTAGGGGGGGATTTCATCAAAGAATAGGTAGCAGAAACTGGCAGCACATCAGGAGGTGTGTCCTGTTGACAGGAAAGGAAATGCCAGGAGCCCTCATGACCTTTGCTTAATGACTAATGCAGCAGTCAGAGGAGTAAATATCCATTTGAGTGACATGGTGATGGAGTGACCCAACAGGCCATTGGATAGCTGTGGGTGCTTTTGTATCTCAGAGGGACTACAGTGGGTTAAAGTGTCACCCGCTTTGCCTTGATGGCCATGCTGCATTTCCTTAGATGTCTGGAAATGTCATGTTGTTTATATCTAAAGGGTGCTTCCAGCCAGCTGTGGTGGCAGGTACCTATAATCCTTGCACCTGGGAGGCAGAGGCAAGAGGATCAGAAGTTCAAGACCAGCCTTGGCTATACAGCAAGTTAATGGCAACAAGAGAGCCTGGACTTTGACTCATAAAACCAAAGTTAATTAATTAATAGTGCTTCTCCAAGCTGTCCAGACCCCATGGAATTTATACACAGCCTGCACCCAAGTGAGGGCAATATGAATTACCTTAGACTAGACTTGCTTTGGGAGGTCCTGCATAGGGAAAGTTGAAATGATATATGCTGGTGTGGTAGCGTATGCCTTTAATCCCAGCACTTGGGAGGCAGAGGCAGGTGGATCTCTGTGAGTCTGAGGCCAGCCTGGTCTACAGATAAAATTCCTTTATGTGTTCTAGGGGGTATGTAGTGGCATCTTGTTCCACCAATAGACTTGAGGTAATAGCCTTAGGGTGTGGCTTGGCATGTGGACATGGAAGAGGAGGGACTCACTTGGGCTCTCTCTTAGGTTGTGGTCTCAGGATCCTGGATTACAGACCCTACCCCTCCAGGTATTGGCAGAACAAGATGCCACTACAGGGGTCAAACTCAGGTTGCCAGGCTTGTGTGACAAGTACCTGTACTCATTAAATCATCTCCACAGCTGTTTTAATATTCAGAGAAGCCACCAGTTGCCTTCTAAAGGTGGCATCACCTTGCACCTCACATACCTCCCCCTTTTCGGCCTTTTTCACTGTTGCCAGTATGGCTGGTTGCTAATATTTCCGAGGTACTTAACTTCACTCTGAATTCCAGGTGTGGGAGATCAGGAGGAGCAGGAGGAATGGGAGGCTGGCAGAGATTTGGAAGGGACACCTGTGAGTGCCAGGGCTCCAGGTGTTGGAGATAAGATGAATCGGGGAGATACTGACAGGTAGGGAGGTGGAAGCAGGATAGCCACCAAGGAGAGGCGAAAACAAGAGACTTCTAAAGGCAGGTCTGTTGTTACAGCCCCAAGTAGCCAGGGTTCAGAACCTGATCTCGTTGCAATGCCAGGGAGACCACAGACATGCATAGTATTGCCTCTGCCAAGTGGGCCTGGTATCTTTCCATTGCAGGGACTACGTATAGGCATTTACACACCTAACATAGTGAGCTTGAAGTCGTTAAACTTCTGGACATTTTAGACTCTGAAGGAAGAGGAAGGTCTAAGAATGTATCTTAGATTTTTATTTCTGTGATAAAACTCCATGGCCAAAAGCAAATTGGGGAGGAATGGATTTATTTCAGCTCACAGTTTATACTCTATCACGAAGGGAAGTTAGATCAGAACTCAAGGCAGGGACCTGGATGTAGGAACCAAAGCAGTGAGCATGGAGGGAAGCTGCTTATTAGCTTAGTCCTCATAGCTCACTCAGCTGGCTTTTTTATACTGCTCAGGACCACCTACCCAGAAGCAGTGGTGGCCCCTCAGAGGGCAGGGCTTACCCACATCAATCATCAATCAAGAAAATGCCCTGCAGATTTGCCCACAGGATAACCTGATGGAGGCATTTTCTCAGTTGAAGTTCCTCTTCCCCTCTAGCTTCTGTCAAGATGACAAGAAATCTAACCAGAACACACGTCGTCCTTATTTTCCTGGTTCCTCTTATAAATGTAAAGTCGCATTGTCAACAATGTGGAATTTTATTCCTTCATACAATGATCATACATGGTAATTAAGTTTATAATGGGGCTGCTTCCTGGGAGAGTAATAATTCTTAATTAAACTTATTTGTTTGTTTGCAGTGCTGGGGATCTGCCCCACAACATGCTCGAATAGGTGAGCACTGTACTGCGGAAGCTGCATTCCCAGCCCTGACCTTATTTAAATGCTTTAATATTTATTATGATGCCCCCAATTGCTGCCATCATCTCCACTTCAGAATGGAATCTGAGGGGGCACCTAATAGGTCAAACCTAGAATTACCATGAATCAGCATGTATACTCTATGCACCAAAGAACTAAAGGCAGGTGTTCAAACTAAACCTTGTACAGGGTTGTCCTGAAAGATTAGTCACAATAGGTACAAGGTGGAAGCAACTCAGTATCTATCAACAGATGTGTGGATACCCAAAATGTGGGTTGCCTACACACTACAATATATTCATCCACATAAGAAAGAAAACTGTAGTTCACGATTCAACATAGATGACTCTTGAAAACATGTTAAATGAAAGAAGCCAGGCAGAGAACACAGGACAGGTTTCCTGAACTTTCCAGACATTACCAGTTCACAGAAAGCAGATTAGTGGTTACAAGAGACTAGGGTGAGACTACAAGGAGGCAGTTGCTGCTTACCGAGATGGGCTTTTTGTGAAGGGTGGTGAAAACCTTTTTGGAACCGATCATGCTAATATTTGCACAACATTGAGTGTTCAATAAAACCAAGCTGCTTTAAATGGTTAAAATAGTTTCATGTCACTAAACGCTTTTTTTTTTTTTTTTTTTTTTTACATTTATTTATTTTGTGAGCAGAGGGGGCCTAGTGTCTCCTTTATTCTTAGTTCCAGGGATTGATTTCAAGTCCTCAGGCTTGACGCTGGGCTATCCTACTAGCCCAAGGTTCTTGTTGTTTACCATAGTTTTAAAAAGTAACTTGGGGCTCAATGCATATGGCTTTCTTGAGGCACCCTTACAGTTGGTACTGGGACGAATTCAGCTTTTCTGTTGTGGAGATGGACTCTGGCTGTGTTGCCCAAGCTAGTGTCACACCCCTGGGCTCAGGTGCTCTTCCCACCTCAGCCTATTGGCTGTTAGAGGACTGAGCTTTGGTTTCTTACTTTGGTTTTCAGAAAGGTCTCATGTATCTCAGGGTGACCTCCAATTGGCTATGTAGCAGAGAATGGCCTTGAACTTCTGGTCCTACGGCTGCTGCCATCCAAGTGTTGGGAAGACAAAGCAACCACACACAGGTTATGGAGTACTGGGGATCAAACCAGAGCTTTGTACTTGCTACACAAGCACTCTACCACTCCCTAGTCCCCAGACTGTTGGCTCCATGGATATACTTTCTATATTTAAAAACAATGTATCCAATTATTTATCTACTTTATTACTTATCTCTTCTAGCCCAGGCTTGCTCTCCCTTCCTTCCTTCCTTCCTTCCTTCCTTCCTTCCTTCCTTCCTTCCTTCCTTCCTTTCTTTGAGACAGGGTTTCGCTGTGTAGCCCTGGCTGTCTTGGTATTCCTCTGTAGACCAGGCTGGCCTCTAACTCAGAGATCTGTCTGCCTCTGCTTCCCAAGTTCTGGGATTAAAGGTATGCATCACCACATTCAACTTTTTGTTGTAAATTACACTTAAAATTATTTTCTGTGTGTTGTGTGGAAATCAGGAGATATCTTTCAGGAGTCGGTTCTCTCCTTCCATAGTGTGGATCTGGAGGATTGAATACAGGTCATCCAACTTGGCAGCAGACCTGAGTTATCTCACTGACCCATGTTTTTTTTTTTAATTGTTGTTTTGCTTTTATAAAGAAAAGAACACATGGCTAAGGTATATATGCATTAGATTCTCTGTTTTAAATTTTTAAAATTACTTTTTATTATGTGGGTGTGTACCACAATGAACATGTGAAAGTCAGACGACAATTTGCAGGATTTGATTTTGTTCCTGTACAAAGCAATGTAGATCACAGGGATCAAACTCAGGTTGCCAGGTTTGGTAGGAAGTGCCTTTACCAACAGACTGACACACACAAACACACACACACACACACACACCACCACCACCACCACCACTACCACCACCACCAACAAAAACAAAACACCAGTCTTACCTGCCTCAAATCCCTGTGTTTTAAAACATTTACAAAACAATAGGTGAAAACATATTTGTGGCCACTTAGGGGGAGACCATCTTGATCGTCCTTAGCTGCCTCATCCTGCACACCAGAGGCTCATCTTGTTTCCCCGACATTCATGTCTGTTTTAGGTGGCAGGAGGACCAGGCCAATGGCTGCTGCTCACGATGTGGAGATGGAGAGTGTGAATCTGAACATGGAGACAGGGGAAAAGGGAGAGCTGGAGGAGGAGACCATGAAAGAGAACAGGGAAGGGAAAGACTTCCCCAGGAGCAGAAAGGTCCACAGGATTGTCTCAAAGTGGATGCTTCCGGAGCCGGTCCGAAGAACATACTTGGAGAGAGCCAACTGCCTCCCGCCACCACTGTTCATCATCTCCATCAGCCTGGCTGAGGTAAACACCGCCACGTGAGGGGCCCTCACATCGGTTCAGACTGGAAGTGGAAGAGGGCATAGAGGGACAAGGGAGCATCCATGAATCCTCGTCCACTCGCGGCCCTCAGAGCTAATTTGCTCAGTCGCTGCCAGCTCAGGGGTTGGTTTCAACCATGATGAAAACCTGCTGCCTAGTGTTGACCTATTTCACTCAGTTCAACCATTTTAGCTGATCTTTAGGAGCCAGGGAACTTTGGGCCTGCAAATTAGTTTTTCTTTCTTTTTCTTTTTTCTTTTCTTTTCTTTTTTTTCTTTTCTTTTTTTTTTTTTTTTTTTTTTTTTGAGGTGGGTTCTGACTATGTAGCCTAGGCTGGCCATAAAACTCATTATAATCCCTTTGTACCAACTAGCAGGAGCAGGGCATTGGGATTACAGTGTGCACTGCCATGTTGAGTTTGCAAACTGGCTTTATCTCATGAAACAAAATAGACTGGTTGGTCAGGTTGGCCTGGGGTATATATTTAGAACAGCCACCAGCTGTTTGAGCTTGCAGAGGAAAACTGGCATCTGCTGTGGGTGTCTACTTTGGGCTGTTGGGATATGTTCTCCATCTATGATCTGTTCAGCTTTCCTGATTTCCAGAAAGAGGGCAAAGCTCAGAGAGCTGGGAATGAGTCACCCAAGGGTGTGTCTTAGTGACTGGGAAGGGCCGAGTCCCTCCAGTGCTTTGTGATACCAAGGTGTTGTTTCTCCTGAACTGCTGTCTTATGAAAGAGTTGGTAGAGATGGCTGCCTGGAGGGCATGACTTGGGGCATTAGGATGCCTCTAGTGTAATCCTCTCAATTCCCACTAATGCCCTAGCTTTAGTAGTCAGGGTTCCCCAGAAGAACAGGATCAATAGGGTGTAAGAGGTGGGGTGGGTTGGGGGGGGGACTGCAAAACGAGGGAGGTGTCAACTCTCTAATCTCCAGGGCAAGCTGGGGACCCAACAAGGGTTTTGTGTTGAGGCCATGGCCATGGTCACGGTCAATTGCTAGTATACTTCTTCTTTTTTTTTCTTGTGAAATGCAGTCTTTTTTCTTTTTTTAAGATTTATTTATTCATTATGTATACAGTGTTCTGTCTGCCTGTCTGCCTGCAGTCAGAAGGGGCACCAGATTTCATTACAGATGGTTGTGAGCCACCAGGTGGTTGCTGGGAATTGAACTCACCTCTGAGCCATCTCTCCAGCCCATACAGTCTTTTTTCTATTAAGGCTTTCATCTGGAACTCACACGCGAGATGGAGGGAAAAGGAAAGTAAATTAACTATTAATCTCATCTTAAGAAATTATCTAGGTACCCACGGGGGCATGACCTTGTAATCTCAGAACTTGGAAACTGAAGCAGAAGGATCTTGAGTTTAAGAGAGCCTGGGCTACAAAGTTTGAGGCTAACCTAAGCTATATAGTGAGATGCTGTAACTAGGTAATTTACTAGCTAGCTAACTAGTTAATGGATAGACAGTACACAAAAAAGCAAAAACACTCACAGAAACATCTGGAATGATGCTTGAAGATATCTGAGTCTATATGAACCTTGCCAAAATGAACATAAAATTAACCATTGCAGAATCCAAACCTTTTATGGTAAATGTGCAAGCATTTCCTGTAGTAGGCTTGCTTGGATTGCCAACCAGCTCCCAAATCAAGACAAAGAGACTTATTATCAATTATGAATGTTCCGGCCTTAATTTAGGCTTGTCCCGCTAGCTCTTAAAATGTATATTAATCTGTTTCTCTTCATGTACTTTTGCCTCAGGCATTTTACCTTTCTTTCATTCTGTATGTCCTACTTTTCCTGCTTCCTTTATAGCTGTTTGGCCACAGACATCTCCCTCTCTTTTTCTCTTGTTCTTTTCTCTCTCAAGCCTAGATTCCTCCTCTTATTCTCTCTGCCCCCCCCTCCCCGCCCCCCCCCATCCCTCTGCTGCTTAGCTTTTGGCCAGTCAGCTTAGGCAGGCAAGTTGAAACAAATGTATCTATCACATCTTTACGTTGTTAAACAAATGCAGCACGAACAAATGTAATACATGTAGGCATGTGGATGTAAATTTGATCCCCAGAGCCCTTGCAGAAGAGCCAGGGGTTGTGGTGTATTCTTGAATCCCAGCACTGGGGAGGTGGAGACAAATGGATTAATTCCCGAGACTTGCCAGCCAGCCAGCCTAGCCTACTGTTTGGGCTTCATGTTAAAGAGAGACTCAGTCTCAAAAAGCAAAGTATTTGGCACCTAAGGAATGACACCTGATGTGTACTTCTGGCCTCCATGTGTATGTTCACACACATGAAGATCAGCACACACATATAAACCTGAAACTAGTTTTCTAAATTTTTATTATTTTATGTGTATGGTGTTCTGCCTGCATAAATATCTGTGTGCCACATATGTGCCCCATGCCCTCAGAGGCCAGAAGAATACTTTAAATTTCCTGTAATAGGAGTTAGAGATGGTTGTGGACCACTGTCCTCTAGAAGATTACTCTGGTGCTCTCAACAACTGAGCCATCTCTCCAAATTTCTAAAACTTTTTGAGGTGTCATATTGGTGTTCAAAAACTTGAAAATATGGATCATTTTATATTTTATATTTTATATTCAGGAGGTTGAATCTGCACCATTAATTAAACTCCAGGCTTTACTTAGAGTTGATGGGTTTTCTCACTAATGTCCTCTTTCTTGTCCTCTGGTCCTTTCCAATACAGAGTTTCACACTGCATTAAGTTGTCCTGCCCCCCCAGGCTCCTCTGATACATGGCAACTTTTCAGTGGTCTTTCGTGACCTTGATAAAGATGAGGTATATTGGCAGGTACCTTGTAGAGTGTCCATGTCTGGGTTGTCTGAGGTTCTTTTTCATAGTTAAACTAGAGTTGGGGGTATAGGGGAAGAATGGCATAGAGACAAATTGCCCTTCCCATCACATCAGGAGATTGGACCTCACACGATACCACTGGGACAGTGATTTTCACCATTTCAGTAAGATTGTCTGCCAGGTTTCTAGGCTGTGGCGTCAGAGTGAAGGTGAGGGACCCGGTTATGTTAATCAGGGAGGGTGACAGAGAACACAGTGACAGCAGAGATTCGGGCAAGCAAGGAGAAGGGGACTTAGAAAGTCTTCCTTACAATCTGCATCATGAGGAGGCATGATCACTGTGGGGGGTGGTGGAGAAATTAACTCCAACATCTTCGGAGCCCACGAAGAGCTAAGTTCTCAGACACGGTCACTGCTGGTGGGTTTGAATAGGGCCCATCTGCAGAGGAAGTTTGTTAACCAGCATGCCTACCCCTCCTTGACAGCTGGCTGTGTTTATTTATTATGCTGTGTGGAAACCTCAGAAGCAGTGGATCACTCTGGATACCGGGATCTTGGAAAGTCCCTTCACTTACCGCCCTGACAAGAGGGAAGAAGCCTGGAGGTTTATCTCATACATGCTGGTCCACGCTGGGTAAGGGATGATGAGCAAGTCAACGTCGTCATTAGAGATCAGAAATAATTGTTAGGCTGGGCAAGGTGGTGCATGCCTGTCATTCCAGCACTTGAAGCAAGAGCAAGGTCATGGCAGGTTTGAGGTCAGCATAACCTATGCATTGAATTTCAGGTCAGCCAGACACATCACCAGGCTCTGTCTTAAAACACACAAACAAAGACAGGGGTCTAGGAGATGGTTTAGAGGGTAAAGACACCCGTCAAACCCAACAACCTGAGTTCAATCCCCAGAACCCACCAATTGGAAGGAGAGAATTGACTTCTGCAAGTTGTCTTCTGACATGGGCACACATGGGTACACATGGGCATGGGTGTGTGTGCACTCATGTACACACACAGATACCATAAGATCAAAAAAAATTTTTTTTTTTTTTTTTTAGACCAGGCTGGCCTCGAACTCTCAGAGATTTGCCTGCCTCTCCCTTCCAAATGTTGGGATTAAAGGCATGCACCACCACCACCTGGCTAAGATTTAAATTTTTTAAAAAAGAAAACAAAGCATGCTGTAATGGAGCACACCTTGAATCCCAACACTAGGAAAATAGAGGCAAGTAAATTCTGAATTGAAATCTAGCCTGGTCTGTATGGAATTCCAGGTCAGCCATGGCTATATAGTGACACCCTGCCAGAGGATCAGGGAGTGAGATAAACAAAAAACTCAAATTGCCACTAATCTGTTTGGGACATTTATTATTATTGTTATTGTTATTTGTGTGTGTGTGTGTGTGTGTGTGTGTGTGTGTGTGTGTGTGTGATGTGCACTGGTGCCCTCAGAAGCTAGAAGTACTGTATTCTGCACAACTGTCTAATGTTGGTATTGATACAGGAATGTTAATGAGTTGGATGCCTTTAATCCCAGCACTCTGGAAGTAGAGAACTCTGTGAGTTTGAGGCCAGCCTGGTCTATAGAGTGAGTTCCAGGACAGCCAGGACTACACAGAAAAACTCTCTTGAAAAAAAAAAGGAATATTAATGAGATGAGACCAAATCACTGTCACCATAAGTAGGTCATCTGCCTGTTGGATGTTCCCAATGCGCCATTTAGGGGATGACGTAGTAGAACTGAGTCATCAGTCTGCCTCCTCCAAGCACACTGTAAAAAGCAATTTGTGAGCATTCTGACTGATGCACTTTATGAATTAATTAACTGGCTCACTGCCAGTGAGTAGCAGAAGGAGGCATAGAAACAGTATAGGCAGAACTGGAGAGAAGGCACAGTGGTTAGGAGCACGTGTATGTGTCTCCTCATGGTCTCATGTATGTGTCACCTCAGTGCTGTGACAAGTGGAGACAGGAAGATTGCTGGTGCTCAGTAGCTGCCAACCTAGCTGAATAACACAGGTTTCAGGCTCAGGAGAGACCCTTCTTTAATGCAACAAGGTAGAGAGAGAATGATAGAGGAGGAGACCCAGCGCCCTCCTCTGGCCCCAATGTGTAACTGCACACACACACACACACACACACACACACACACACACACACACACACACAGAAGGGAGGAATCAAAGTAAGAAAGATAAGATAATGAACAGGGAAGGCTATGTTTGTTTTCCAGTTTTGTTTATTCTTCCTTCCTTTGTCTATATAGTTCTTGCTGTCCTGGAACTCACTATGTAGAGCAGGATGGCCTCGAACTCACAGAAACCTACCTGTCTATGTCTGAGTGCTGGGATTAAAGGCATGCACCATCACTGCCTGGTCATTTACAGTTTCTAAAATGTGAGAGCCTTTCAAGACCTCACTCAGAGCCAGACAATGGTGCTCACCTGCAATCTCAGCATGTGGGAGGTAGGGGCAGGAGGATCAGGAGTTCAAGGCCAGCACAGGCTACACGTCTCGATAAATGTTTTAAAGCATTTCCTCAGCATCTTTGGCTCCCTATGCCCACTGAGGTCAGCAAATAGCTATGGCTATCCTACTTCTCTGGGGGATCCTTGTGGTGTTAGGTGAACTGTGCTTCACCCATGTGACTCACCCCACCCTGGATTTAAAATGATCACATTTTTGGTCAGTAGTTAAATAACATACAAGGCAGGGTGCTTGGTGCTGTGCATAAAACCCAGAGTTTCATGAATGCTAAACAAAAGCTGTACCCTCTGAGCTACAACCTGAACCCTTGAGGTTTTTTTTTTTTTGAGACAGGGTCTCACTATGTAGCCCTGGCTGTTCTAGAACTAACTATATAGATTAAGCTAGCCTTGAACTCACAGAAACCCACTTGTCTCTGTTTCCCAGGAAAAGGACTAAAGTTGTGATCCACCAAGACTTTACTCTTTAAATTAGCTGCACTGGTCTTTGTTTCCATTGTAATTTTTGTAAAGCACAACTTACACATTTATAATCCTAAAAGACTTTTATTTGCTTTACATATTGATGTAAGATTTTATTTCAAAACGAATAAGAGGGAAGCTGGAGAGGTGACTCAGTTCTACCAGAGGTCCTGAGTTCAATTCCCAGCAACCGTAAGGTGGCTCACAGCCATCTATAATGGGGTCTGGTGCCCTCTTCTGGCCTGCAGATGTATATGCAGAGAGAGCACCATATGCACAAAATAAGTCTTAAAAGAGAAGAGAAAAAACAAAACAATAAAACAGATAAAAGAGTTGCCTGCTTAAAAAACTAGACTACAAGTCGGGCGTTGGTGGTGCACACCTTTGATCCCAGCACTCGGGAGGCAGAGGCAGGCGGATCTCTGTGAGTTTGAGACCAGCCTGGTCTACAAGACCTAGTTCCAGGACAGCCTCCAAAACCACAGAGAAACCCCATCTCAAAAAACCAAACCAAACCAAACCAAAACAAAAGCAAAAAACAAAAAACCTAGAATACAGGAGCTGGAGAGACAGCTCAGTGGTTATGAGTGCTTGCTGCTCAGTCATGAGGTCTGTAGCTTTGATCCTGATACTCAGGTGGAGTGGGTCGCAGCTTCTGTGACTCCAGCTCTACAGGATCTGGAGCCCTCTTCTGACTGCCATGGGCTCTGTCTATCTTAAAAGATAGAAAATAACATTCTAGCAAGTTCTCATATAGAACTGTCACATGCAAGTCTCCCATGACCACAGCTGTCTGGATATGTGACTGGTGTTTGTCTCTGCAGAGTCCAGCACATCGTGGGGAATCTTTTTATGCAGCTCGTTCTGGGTATTCCCTTGGAAATGGTCCACAAAGGCCTCCGAGTGGGGCTGGTGTACCTGGCAGGAGTGCTTGCAGGTCAGTGTTCTGAGGGTAACACGGAATCATCACTTCTGGGCTCTTAGGATTGAAGCCAAAGGTGTAGGTGTTTACAGTTTATTGCACACTAGCAGCTGATATGCATAATTATAATATGCTAGGGAATATGGTAAATGTTGGAGACCATTTAACTAGAGATTATATATTAGAGATGATACAAACACATGAAAAGTTACAGTGGCTGTCCTCAGATTATCTCACAGTCTTATAACATTTATACACTTTGAAACTACAAGCAGCTTGGTGTTTGGATGGTGAAGGCCCTGATATGCTAGACTAATGAGTCTGGACATGTTTTCATTTTTCCAAACATGGTTTCTCTGTGTAGCTCTGGCTGTCCTGGAACTCACTCTGTAGATCAGGCTGGCCTTGAACTCACAAAGATCTGCCTGCCTCTGCCTCCTGAGTGCTGTGATTAAAGGCGTGTGCCACCACTGCTTGGCTCAAAATCCACTTCTTATCTTTTTATTTATTATCTGGTGAATATGCGGTGGTAAAGTTTCTCCCATTTATTTTGTTTTGTTCTTGCTTTCTGAGATAGGATTTCACTATGTAGACCAGACTGACCTTAATTTGTGGCACTCCTTCTGCCTCTGTCTACCACATGTTGGGATTAAAAGTGTGTGCTCCTATGCCAACTTCTCATCCTATGTATATGTATGTATGTAGTGTATAGTGTATATATGTATGTATGCATGTATGTGTATGTATGTATGTAGTATGTGTATATATGTATGTAGTATGTGTGTAGTATGTGTGTGTATTTGAGAGAGATTGATGAGATGTTTCTTCTCATCCTCCTCTTGTGCCTCCCCTCCCCCTCCCCCTTCTCCTTCCCCTCCCCCTTCTGAGAAAGTCCTTCCTTCCTAAGTGCTTCCTCAGCAGTCCTTTATTTATTTTCATGTGTATGGGCATTTTGCCTTCATGTACACACACATGCAGTGTCTGCAGTGACCAAAATAGGCATCAGAGCTCCTGGAGTTAGGGGTGGTTGTGAGCCACGATGTACATGCTGGGAACCAAACCTAGGAAGAACAGCTGGTGCTTGTAACAGCTAAGCCATATCTCTAACCCCAAAACATTGGTTTTTTTTTTTTTTTTTTTTTTTTTTTACACAAAATAAAGATAGTATTACAGCTTAAGGGAGGTCATGAAAGGAAAAATAAAAAAACCCAAATAGTAAAAGTAAGAAGTATAGAAAGGACATCTTAATGTTTACCTTCTTTTGGTCCAGGAACCTGCTTTAGGACTGGGTTAGGATGTGAGTTTCCTCTTGTTTGATTGAACCTTGTGTCAGGAAGCATTCTGAGGCCACCTCCAGGGAGATGGCTCAGCGGGTCCAGCTCTTTCTGTAGTTCTAGAAGATAAGAGTACCTGTAGTACACAGGACACGGTTTATCACACTTTGCTGCTTTTTGTGTACACGTGTATGTGTATGTGTGTGTAGACTCTTGTGGAGGTCAGAGGACAACTTGTTGGAGCTGTTTCTTTCCTAACACCACGTGGATCCCAGGGATCAAGTTATCAGGCTTCCCAGAAAGCTTTTACCTGCTGGGCAGTCTCACTGGCCCGGCTGAAGTAACAGCTAGCAAGGCTCCAAAACTTCACGCAGCACTTTCATATGATACGTGTAGCAACTCTTTTACATCCCCCTAAAGCCTATTGGGAACCATTTGATTAAGATTTCCATGTTACAGACAGGAGACTAAATAATGTCCTGAAGTCATGGTGAATGGTTGGGCTCCAGAGTCTGAGCTCTTGTCTCTGTTTTACTTTCAGCAAATGTTTAATGTTTCAGAAATAACCTGCATGCCTGAATCTACACGGCACACAAGGGCAAGATGGAGTTGTTGCATGCCATTTTCTTAATGGTCAAAATGTGCCATATTTTTACTTTAGATTTTTATTTAATCCTACTTCATTCATAATTCTTACAGTTTTCTATCTGATCTTTTATATTTTATTTCTCCAGGTTCCCTTGCCAGCTCCATTTTTGATCCCCTTAAGTCTCTTGTGGGTGCCTCAGGAGGAGTTTACGCATTGATGGGAGGCTATTTTATGAATGTGATAGTGGTAAGAATTTGGGGAATGGAAGGTTTTTGTTTGTTTGTTTCTCGAAACAGGGTTTCTCTATGTAGCCCTAGCTGTCCTGGAACTGGCTCTTATAGACCAGGCTGGCTTTGAACTCACAGGGACCCACCTGCCTCTGCCACCCAAGTGCTGGGATTAAAGGTGTGCACCACTACCTGACATAGGAATGGGGGTTTTTAAGACAGGCTCTCATGTAGCCTAGGCTAGTCTGGAACCTGATATGTAGCAGAGGGTGGCCTTTACTTTGCTCCTCAACCAGATTCTAGATCTTTGCCTTTTTATTCACAAGGATGACAAGCATACACCACCACACCCTGTTTCTGGACTTCAAAAAAAAAGTTATTTTATTTCATTGAGTATTTTCTCTGCTTGTATTTATGTGCACCATGTGCATACTTGGGGTCTGTGGAGGTTAGGAGAAGGGGTCTGGAGTCCTGGAAGTGGAGATGCAAATGTTGTGAGCCATTGTGTGGGTATAGACTCAAACCCAGATTCTCTGGAGCCATCTCTCTAGCTCCTGGACTTCTTTGTTTTACTGAATTGTTTGACCACTAGAGAAAGGCAACTCCCAGTCCTGCTGTAGTAAACCCTTTGGGTTATGCTGTCACCAGGATACTGCTTAGTCAGACACCTGTAGTTTTATTTTATTGAGTTGCTGCTCCCTCCTCTTTCATATAATAAACATTCTTCCCAGGGAGCTAAAGTCCAATTAAAAAATAATAGCCTTGAGCCAGTGAGATGATTCAGTAGGTAAAGACCTTGACACCAAGCTGGACACTTGGGTTCAATCCCCTGCATCCACATGGGAGGAGGAGAAAACCTATTCTCACATCTCTTGTAATCTCCACATGTGAGGCGTGGGCATGTCCACACACACACATGCACAGGCATAGCCACACACAATACAGTTTTGAAAATGTAATTTAAAAATAATGGCCTGCCATTTCCAGTCTTGTAAAAAAAAATATTGGTTAATTCTCTCTTAACTACCATGGGGAAAGAAGATGAAGTAGTGAAAGAATATTTACCAGAAAAGCTTAGAAATATTTTACCATACTTATCACTCCATTTATTGACATATTAAATGTTGATTTTATGTTACTTGTATTTAGCTACTGGTTAATGAAATTGTGTCATTTACATTATAAAATTAAGCATTATGTTTGTTTTATGGTGCAAAATACAGCAGCATTGTCCTTTTCTGGTGCATTTGAAAACATGGCTGTTGCATCTGTGGTTTGCCTAGCTGGATGTGGTGGACATGGCTTTAATCCCGGCACTTAGGAGGCAGAGACAGGCTGATCTCTATGAGTTCCAGGACAGCCAGGGCTACACGACAAACCCTGTCTTGAAAGCAAAACCAAAACTAATCAACAGTGCTTTAAATGAAATAGTAAATGAAGAGGAAGTCAGGTTGAGATGCCATTTGCTTATAGCTTATATTCTTATCACTTTACCAGAATTTTCGAGAAATGATTCCTGCCTTTGGAATTGTCAGACTACTTGTCATTATCTTGATAGGTAAGTGAGTTTTGTGGACACTTTGCACCCTTAATCTCCAAAGCCTTCAGAAGGGCTCCTTGGGTTTCCCAGCCGTACTGTGAGGGACGATTGCTAGAACTGTCTGGTGGTAGAGGTGCCTTGGTGATGTGCCAGGGCAAGCTCTGGGTGTGCCCTGTGCCTTTCACTTAGGCTTTTGGTTCTGGGTTTTCATTTTCATGTGATGGAAAGTATATAATTTTTGTCTGCAAAGGAAAAGCTTAGAGACTACTGAGATAATCTATCTTCCTAAATTTCTAAAATTTCAATTTGGGGGCAGCAGGAGGGAGGTTTCACATAGGTTCATGTAGACCAGGATGGCCTTGAACTTGAGATGCAACTGAGATTGATCTTGGAATCCTCATTCTCCTGTCCCCACCTCCTGAGTACTAAGATTATAGATGTGCACTGTCTTACCTGGTTTTATACAGTGCCAGCGATCCAACCCAGGGTTTTCTGCAAGGTAGACAAACACCCCACCAAGTGAGCTCCAGCCACAATCTGTGCCTTACATTCTTTGTGCATAAAATGTCACTATTACCCTCACTTGGATTGCTAAGGCAGTAGTTCTCTATCTGGTCTCTCTGCTCCTGTTCTTGCTTCTCATTTTGCATCTTACAGCCAGATTGATCTTTCCCAAGCCCTACAGAAGCAAGAAAACCAAAAATCTCATCAGACTCATGTCACCTATACTTAAAACCCTCAAAAGCCTTCCTGTCATGAAATTGTGAGTCATGGTCAAAGTCCCTGCTCATAAGGCCCCTCAGCATCTCTCCCAGCCCTTTGCCTGGTCCCATCACTCACCTCTCCATCTTTAATTCAAGTCCAGAAATTCCTGGAAGTCTCTCTGAAACACAGAAGACTGACCCTGGGCCTTAGTTTTTCATTCACCTATCTAGGGTGCAGAGAATTTCATTTTTAATGTTTCTGGTTTCATGGTTCCTGTCTATAATCCTAGCACTCTGGAGGCCAAGGCAGGAGGATTCCTGCAAGTTTGGGCCCTCTTAGGCTAGATAGTAAATTCAAGACTAGACTGGGATATGTAGCAAACCCCCATCTTGAGCAAAATAAATAGAAAGAAGTTCCTAGATGCCACGGACCACCCCAGCTGGGTATGGGGGTTCCTGGGACAAGGGTTCTTGAAGACTAGGTGGGTAAGGATCCGGTGGTGACAAACAGAAACAAACACAGAGGCAGTTTGAATCTGAGTGTATTTTGCAGCAGTCAAGCCAGGCTTTTTATCCAGGATAAAGAATAGCTTCCAGAGAGTGTGTTCATTGAAGCAAATCCAGATAGAACAAACAACAATATCCTGTTAGGTACAGTAACCTACAACTTATTCAAAGCTAACAATAAATCAGAAAATCATTCAAGGCTAACCACAACTAACTGCCTATTTTCTAAGATCAGGTTAATAAATCTTTATGGTCAGTTATTGTTTAATATTTGTTGCCTAGCTCTTAAGAATCTTTGAAATATTGAACTATTTTGACTTTTTCTTATCAAAAGACTTTCTTTACCAATGTTTAAACCTACTCTCGATTACACATGTATAGCCATATGAAGTTTTATTGTTGGGAAAGTTTTCATCAATACTATTTGTACGTATATGAATGACGTGAATGATTTGAAAAGCTCTGGTTTTCCTGGAGACGAGGTCATGGTCAGTGACCATGTCTCAGGGGACAGTTTCTCATTTGTATCTTTTGTTTAAAATGTCAGCATAGGCTTTCAAGAGCATTTTGATAATATGAGAAAAGAATAGAGGAACAGAGATTGCCATGAGAACTATGGCTCAATACTTTTCTCCGGCCAAGAGTTCCATGACCAGTTCCAGGAGTCCTTCTTTTGAAGTTATCGCATCAGATTGTGGAACTCGTCACACAGAATCTACTGGATTTGGTGTGGCACCTAGATGATTCTGAACCTGCTGATCTGAGGGACATTTCTGCCTCAGGGAATTCATGCTTGTTCATAAGTGTCTGGAAGATTCTTGCTTTACAAAACAAGCATGACTTGTTCCATCCAGTGAAGGTTTTTTGAAGAGTTTCCCTGATCCTTCTATTAAAAGTGACAAGCCTGGCTGATGAAATGTTTGGCTCAGTGGGTAAAAGTGCCTGCTGCCAAGCCTAACATCCTGAGTTCAATTCCCAGGACCCACATAGTGGGAGCAGGGAACTGACTTCTGCAAGATGTCCTCTGACCTCTACAAAAGTACTGTGGTACACAGGCACACACCCGCACATACACAGCCACACTTACACACTAAATTAACTAATTAAAAATAATATTTTAGAGGGCAGCTTATTCCTGACACCTGAAACTCTTCCTCATCTCCATTTTCTCTGTAGCACTCAATGTAACATGGCATACTGTTGTCTTTTTGTTTGTTTGCTTGACTGGTTTTTAAAGTAGGGTCTCACTCTGTAGCCTTGGCTGGCCTGGAACTTGGTATGTAGACTAGGCTGTCCTCCAACTAACAGACATCTGCCTTCCTCTGCCTTGAAAGTGCTGGGATTATAGGTATTAGCCAACATCCCTGGCAATGCACACCCCCCTCCCTCCATAGCTAGGAGCCATCTGGTCTGCTCTATGCTCTGTCTACCATGAGAACAGTGCCGTCAGGCAGAAAATAATCAATACTTACTTCTCTGATTAGCAAACCCACACTGAGTCACTGATAACATCCACTTCATTGGGTTGTTACAAGAATTAATGAATTAATGGAGAGCTCAAAGAATAGCAGCTGGTACAGCAGCAGAGTAAAACGACACCGATGTGAGAAGCTAGGTTTCACTGGGCTGTCTTCTCTTCTAGTTGCATCAGACATGGGATTTGCCCTTTACCGAAGGTTCTTTGTTCCTGCAAATGGGTCTCCGGTGAGTTTACTTCCTACCTTTGTGCTTGAGTGTGCGAGTGCATGTACACACATATAAGCTCACGTTGTGTATGTGGAGGTCAGAGGACAACTTTCAGAGTTGCTTCTTGCATTCCATTTTGTCTCTGACTCCAATCACACCATAGGGATTCTGGGATTACAGATATGTACTGCTGTACCCAGCCTTTTCTTTTCTTTGTGTGTGTGTGTGTGTGTGTGTGTGTGTGTGTGTGTGTGTGTGTGTGTGTTTTAGAGACAGGGTTTCTTTGTGTAGCCCTGGCCATCCTGGAGCTCAGTCTGTGGACCAGGCTGGCCTCTGCCTCCCAAGTGCTGGGACTACCGCCAGGCCCAGCTTTCTTACAATATTCACTGCTGTACCAAACTTTCCCACATGGATTCCAGGACTCAAACTTAAGTAATCAGGCTTCTGAGCAAGAACTTTTTTACCTGCTGAGACATCTTTCCAACCTCAATTTTTCCTTTTTTTGTTTGTTTGGTTTTTAAAGAAAAGATTATTTTCCCATCAAAAAGAGTCATCATGTCATCTCAGCACTCAGGAGACTGAGGCAGGAGAATCTGGTGTTCAAGGTCACCCTCAGCTACATAGCAAGTACAAGGGCAGCCTGGACTAATAACAACAAAATAAAACAGGCAAACATACAAAAAAGGGGAATGCCTCAATGGATGAAGAGCTTGATATGCATGTGTGAGGACTGTAGTTCAAACCCCCGGCACTCAGGTAAATGCCAGAAAGGCCCATGTATTCCCAGTCCCCGGTAAGAGGAAACTGGGATCCCCAGGGTAAGCCACCTGTATATACATCCAGAATGATGGAGCTCAGAGCTGAGGAAAGAGACTTTAACTCCCTGGGCATGGTAATATACATCTTTCATTCCAGCACTGGGAGGCAAATGTAGGAGGATTTTTGTGGGGCCTGGTCTACATAGTGAGTTCCAGGACTAAATAGAGAGTTCCTTTAAAAAAAATGGAGAGAGAGAGACCTATTTCAGTATATAAAGTGAATGGATGCAGAATTGATTGAAAAGGGTAGCTTGCATATACATGTGTACCCACAGACAAACATGTGCATGCACACACATCTAAAATGCACATGTATGAACAACCAAAAACATTCTCAACTGCGTAGCTAGTTCAAGGCCAGCATGAGATATATGGGGCTCTGTCCAAAAATAAATAAATAAAAGTGGAACGAATATTGCAATGAAATTTTGTGTTCAAGTACACTATAAAGAAAGCTGGCATAAGTGATTTTCAGTGGTTAGCTTTGAATGTGGTAGTACATTTCTTCTGTTATTTAATATTATTTAATTCTCCATCTCAACAGTTTATGACAATAGAGATAATTCATGGTGGCCACTCCCACCCTGATCTCTTGGCTAGCTTTCTATGCAGAGATATCAAGAGAAAAAAAAAAGTAATGGTTGTTCTGTCTTGTGTGCTGAGAGAGTGGATGAAGATGACATGTTTTGTTAGGGTTGGTGGTACACACCTATAATCCTAAGAATCAGGAGACTGAGGCAGGAGAATTTCTTTGAGTTCCAGTCCAGCCAGGGTTATAGAGCAAGACCTTGTATCAAAGAGAAAGAAAAAGAGAGAGAAAAAGAAAGAAAGAGGAAGGAAGGAAAGGAGAAAGAAAGGGAGGAAGGAAGGAAAGGAGAAAGAAAGGAAGGAAAGAAAAAGGGAGGAAAGAATCAGGCTGGTGAGCCAGTGAGATGGCTCAGGGTGTCCGATGCTTCCTATGCAAGTCTGATGACCTATGTTCAATTCCTGAAGATGTGGAAGGAGAGACTCGACTTCACAAAGATGTCCACTGTCTTCTACATGTACCCTATGGCACATGTACCCCATCATAATACATATACACAATAAGTTACATGAAAAAGAAACTTTTTTTGTAGCCCTGGCTGTCCTGGAACTAGTTGTGTAGATCAGGCTGGCCTTGAACTCACAGAGGTCCACCTGCCTCTGCCTCCTGAGTGCTGGGATTAAAGGCATGCGCCACCATGCCCAGCTTCACATGCTTTACAACATAACCTTGTCTTGGGGTTTGTGTCTGCTTAGTGGTGAGATCCACAGCTAAAATATATTTCTTTTTCCCCTCCTTTCTTCGAAGGTGTCCTTTGCGGCTCACATCGCAGGTGGATTTGCTGGGATGTCCATAGGTTACACTGTGTTCAGCTGCTTTGACAAGACGCTGCTCAAAGATCCCAGGTTCTGGATTGCAATTGCTGCATATGTAGCTTGTCTCTTATTTGCTGTGCTTTTTAACATCTTCCTGTCCCCAGCAAACTGACTCCCTCTATATAAGCCAGTTAATAAAAGTGCCACATGGGGAGGGATGCGAAACTTTGTGAAGAACCACAGACATCCCAGCATATGCTAAGAATCTTATAAAGAAGATGGGACAGCACCCAATGCATCACTTCTGAGAGGAGCTTCCAATGGGAAGGAAGAAGAAAAGTCAGGATCCGAAGGCTGAGTCTCATGCATAGAGTACACGTGTATTAGCCTCTGAAGGGGGACTCATATACTGGGGGATGTAATTTGGAGATTCTTTGACAGACTCCATGAGAACTGTACTATCCTGAGAATAAACACTTTTTGTATCTGTGTTGGACTCTTGGTTCTTGTGGCTCTGAGGCAGAGTGCTCCTGATCCCAGGATGGCCAAGAGCTGGCTGAATCCAAGGAGGACCTAGAACTCTGGTCTCTGTTTACATTAAGGGCTGCCAGCCTTTGAGGTGGCACTCTATCTTCTAAGCCAAATAGCTGTGTTCTCTGCTGAAAAATGATTGTCAGGGCAGGAGAGATGGCACAGTGGTTAAGAGTCATCAATTCCCAGCACCCACAAGTCTCCCACAGTCTCTGATGGAGGACTGTACCTGTTTAAGGGTACCAGAATATGGATTATGACATGAAACCTCATACTTTTTCCTGCTGGTCTAACAGTGCCATGGTTCCTGGCTTCTGAAAGAGACCTATAAAAATACAGAACTGGGCTGGAGAGATGGCTCAGAGGTTAAGAGCATTGGCTACACTTCAGAGGTCCTGAGTTCAATACCCAGCAACCACATGGTGGCCCACAACCGCCTATAATGAGATTTGGTGCCCTCTTCTGGTGTGCAGGCAGACATGCCAGCAGAATACTGAATATACATGATAAATAAGTAAGTTAAAAAAAAAAATACAGAACTAAGCCTTCTGAGGATACATGCGTTTGGTGGTAATACGGAAAAATTAGAAAAAAAAACTCTGGACTTCTAGTTTAGGTTCTAAGGGCATCTAAGATCCCATACAAAACCTGGAATTTACTTTCTGGTGAATATAATATGTGCTTGGACTTCAAGTAGTTAGTGGCTCTTCTAAGAGTGGGTGAGGTTTAGATGGGGGAGTAGTGTCAACTGCCTGTACCTCCAGCACAGGTACCCAAAGTCTACCTTTAAACTAAAAATTCCCATTGCCTCCTCACCCCAAACACTGTCGACGTTTTGGTATGTGTCCTTGCAGATCCATTTCTACCTAGAGTGAGAGGAAGGAGAAATGGATTTTGGCTGAGGGCTGGCTTACCCACTGCACCGAATATACTGGATCTATCAATATCGAAGGACAATTTGAATTCTTGGTGTTGCTTGGTTTTTTGAGAAGGGTCTCTCAACATAGGCCTGGCTATCCTGGAACTTACTCTGTTGACCATGCCGGTCCCCAGCTCACAGAGATCCACCTGTTTCTGCACACACACACATTTTACACACACACACACACACACACACACACACACACAAAGGCCTGGAGAGATAACTCAGGGTCCTTGAGGAAGAACATCATTTTGGGAGACAGTACATATCAGACACAGCAGTGTGGGCCTAAAAATGAACAATAGGTTTCTCTGTAAGACCTAGAGAGCACCAGTTAGGTATAGTGATGCTTGCCTTTAATACTAGCATTGGAGGAGGGTGCAGAGGCAGATTCAACTCTATGAGTTCGAAGGCAGCCTGGTCTACATAGGGAGCAGAGTTCCAGGCTAGCCAGGCTTACAAAGAGAGAGACCCTGTCTTAAACAAAAACAAACAAAAATCCATAAAACCTAGAGAGGAGGGATAGCTAAAAATATAAGAGAGCCCTCTCTGTGGGCAGCATGAGAGGGAGGGGGCTGCAGGAGCAAGGGTACCTTCAGAAACTTCCCCAAAGAAAAACATGACTTTAAATCACCTCATTGGGTAGTGGGAAGTTCACCATCACTGACTTCATTTTACCCAGCCCTCATGACAGAGAGCATGGGGATGCCAGGAACCGCAGTCAGGGGCTGTTCACTCTAGCAGAGGGTGGCTTTTAAACTCTCTTTCCTAGAGAGAGAAGTGTAGGAGGCATGGCCTGATTTCATCACCCCTAGGAGCTAGCGTCTTGATGGGACAGGTCCATGATCTAACAGCAACATGGCAGGTACATAAATATTTCTTTGTAAGTCTTCAGCGCTTGTGTGCCTGCCCTGAGCTCTGGCAGGCTTGTCCAACAGGATAGCTACAGACGGATATGGCCTAACACTTGTAGATAACAGTGTCATATTGCAATGTCAAAAGGTTACATTCCCCACTCTTTAGCATCTGAGGTGACCAGAGGAGGAATGCAAGTGGTCTAAAGTAAACACCACAACTGGAATATAAGAACCAAGGTTACAACACATTCATGTAGTGACAGGTAACCAGGCTGCTACAAGTGACTCTATTGTGCTGTTTATTGGAAACAGTATCTTACGATAAAGCCCAGGATGGCCTCAAATAGTTCTGCTTCAGCCTCCCAAGTGCTGGGATTACAGGCGAGCACTACCAAGCCCTCTGTGACATGTGAGTCTGACAAGCCTGCACCCCCTTGTCTCTAGACACTACTCACTGAAGACATCACTGGTTGACCATTGGTTGCTTTGAGCTCCGCTGTTTCTTCATGCTAGGATTAGATCTGTCCCTGTTGGTCTGACTTGTTCCCACACTGAGGGAGGGGGGAGTGACACATGTCAAGTGGTTAGCACCAATTAACTTTTTAGGGCCATTTTAAAGTTCATGTATTTGAGGCAGAGTGTGGTGGCTTGAATGAGAAAGGATCCTGTAGGCTCATATATTTGAATGCTTAGTCACCAGAGAGTGAAACTGTTTGAGAAGGATTAGAAGGAGTGGAGGTGTGGCCTTGTTGGAGAAAGCGTGTCACTTGGGGTAGGCTTTGAGGTTTAAAAATATCATACCAGGTCCTCTCTCTCTCTCGCTCTCTCTCTCTCTGCCTGTTGCTGCCTGTGGGTCAGGATGTAAAGCTCTCAGCCACCAAGCCAGTGTAATGCCTATCTGCTTCCCACCATGACAATCATGAACTCTAAAACAGTAAACAAGTCCCCAATTACACGTTTCTTTTATAAGTGGTACCTTGCTTATGGTATCTCTTCACAACAATAGAACAATGACTAAGACAGTCATTTTGCCCCCGTGCATGTCTGTACACCACATACATGTCTAAGATAGTCATATTACCCCTGTGTATGTTTGTATACCACATTCATGGCTGGTGCCACAGAGGGCAGAAGATATGGATGTTTGTGAGCTGCCATTTGGATGCTGGGAATAGAACCCAGGTCCTCTGGAAGAGCTGCTAGTGCTCTTAGCCATCTTTCCAGCCTCTAGTTCAAGTTTCTTTTTAGAAGTTGTACTGGAGAATGTTAACAGCTAGTTACAGACAAGGCGAAGTAGTCAGAGGAAACCTGCTGAAATAAAGAACTTTGCAGATACATTGCTTAGGTCACGTGTGTCCAGTGTCCTTATTGCTTGGCTTGCACAGAGTCTGGATGTGGCTAACTATCATTGCCTAAAGAAAATACTCATAGTACAATTGGGAAGCCACAAGCATAAAAGCTAGAAGTTTCAGCTGGGAGGATATCAGCCGGGAGTCCTAAACTTTGAGTCTTAGAAAGCTTCTAGCATATAAGAGCCAGGTATACATACATAAGAGCCAGTAACAATTGCATGGAAACAAACTTCAGAACCTTTGGCTTGGTAGGATAAATCCACAACATTGACAAAAGTAACATTTTAGACTTTCTACAAATTTGGGGGGGGACAGTTCTGTGGTTTGAATAAAAATGGTCCCCAAAGGGATTGGCACTAGGACAGACACGTGACTTTATTGGAGTAGGTATGCCCTTATTGGAGGAAGTGTGTCACTGTGGAGGCAGGCTTTGAGGTCACATATATGCTCAAGCTTCATTCAGTGTGATATTCATACCACTTCCTTTGCCTACAAGATGTAGGACACTCAGCTACCTCTCCAGAACCATGCCTGTCTGCACACCACCCAGACACTTATCCTACTGTGATGATAATGGGCACTGTAAGTGAGCCACCACAATGAAATGTTTTCCTTTATAAGAGCTGCTGTGGTCCTGGTGTCTCTTTACAGCAATAGAAATGCTAACCAAGACAGGTTCTAGCCAGGCAGTGTTGGCACAAACCTTAATCCAAGCATTCGGGAGGCAGAGGCAGGTGGATCTCTGTAAGTTCTGTAAACTCTGTAAGACCAGCCGGGTCTACAGAGCAAGTTCCAGGATAGACAGCTAGGGCTGTTACACAGGAAAACCCTGTCTTGAAAACCTAAACAACGCAAAACAAAAGACAAGTTCTACAAGTTTTAACTATTGCATGGTTATCACATGTTACAAAAACAAAAGATTCATTTAGTAACCACACTGAAAACATGCTACTTTGCATGCATTAAACTGAATGTGTCTTTAATCTGTAAGCTTTTGACTTATATATTAAGTTCTGACACAGTTCTGCAGCTCTTAGAGTCTCAGGCAAGTAGGAGACTAAATGTTCTAGAATCAGTTTAAAACAGCCATTTTCAAAGCGATTGTTTAGTGTTTTGATTTAAAAGATATTTAAGTGAGTCTCGACTTAATTAAAATAATTTTTTAAAAAAGTATGAAAAAACTACCAGGAAACTTTTTTAATAGCCTTGGTTTAAATCTTTGTTAAAACTCATCAAATTCCCCATCTAAGTACAGAAAGATCCAACAGTATCAATTAAACCACATATTTAAGTTTCAAGATGTCTGAAGATGACAGGCAGCTCTTTATGGGTGTAGTCGGCCTTGGGATTTCCCCAGGCTTCCAACAGGCAAGTACTGTATGAAGCACACAACATATTTCAGACACAGCTGCCCATATCTACCTGCTATACACTTTAAGAGCAGAACACCTGAGCAGCCACCTTTTTCTATGTGGGAAATGTTTCTTCTAGCAAAGGCTGCCAGCTCAACAAGGACCCACCCATATGTCCTGGGTCTCCCTCATCTCCTGTGCTCCAAGACTAGACTGTGTTTGGATTATGAAGCTGAGCTCTCAGGGGTGACTAGAATGAGATGTAGTCACCACCTACAACAGGGAGAAGAGGCCACTTTGGGTGAGTGGGCTTGCTGGGCTGCCTTGGCTCTCAGCTCACA